GGTCCCCGTCCCCCCTGCTCCCCCCCGCGCCGGGGATTCCGGCGCACCGGCCCCTCTCACTGGACTACTGCCGCCGTCTCACAGACAAGCGGGCGCCCAAAGCCCCGCCGCTCCCGCCGCCCGCTTTCTGGAGACCTTGGCCCTGAGCTTTGGGGGGGGCTGGGGGTAGGGGCTGGGGGAGGGAGGTAGAGACTCCAGCCCGAGGGCAGCAGAGGGACCCGGGCGTCGGGGTGAGGAGGTGTTGGGGAGGGCGGCGGGGCGCGCGGGCGCAGCGCGCGGGTGAGATGTGGTCTATATTAGAGTATCTATATAAATATATATTTCTCTGGTTCCTGTCCCTTCTCCCTGCCCACCTTGTGTCTAGGATTGTACCCTCTGCTCCCGGCCCAGCCCCAGCCCCTTCCCGAGTCCCTAGTGCATGGAATAAAGTGGTTATTAAATCCCGGTGTGTCCCCGAGCCAGGGGCCTGCCTTTATCTCGGCGTCCACGCCCACTTTCCCTCACCTTCTGTCTTCCGCCCCCCAGTCCTGCTCTCCTTCGCCCAAGCTCCGGGGCAGACAGGTAAGTAAAGAAGAGAGCAGAGTGGAGGCTGAGGTCGGAACTGCAACCAGATGGAAAACATAGATAGGGTAGGGGGAGAATGGATGGGAACCTTTGAGAAAAAGCCAGATAAAGAGGAAAGGATAAGAGAAAAAGAAATAAAACCGACTCTGGTGGGATTCGAACCCACAACCTTTGAATCGCTCTCTCATCACTAGAAGTCCAATGCGCTATCCATTGCGCCACAGAGCCACCTGGTGGGCAGCGGCGTCTGACGGCTTACGGGTACTAGAATGGGAAAGGGGCGGGGGGAGGGGAGGGATGAGAGGGAATTGGGCGGGGCGTGACAGGCGCGCGTGGTTTGGACTTCAGAGGTCTGCCTGGGAGAGGTAGCGTGTGCAAAGCTCGAGAACCAGGTGGGAGTGCGGGCATGCAAGGGTGGAAGAAACAGGGAGAGAGCAACTGAATATGAATGAGCGAGCGAGTACAGAGCTCCGGCTGCCCGCTTGGGGGATGCTTCCAGTCCAGGCTCACCCCACTCCCAGATGTGGCCCCACCCATCAAAATAAACTTGTTTTGTTTGCAAATTTCTGTGTGTCTGTTTCCTCTGGTCTATATGTTTTACCATCCGCTGCTCCGCGGTCGGAGGAATCTCAATGGCTCCCAAAGACCAACCAATTCAATACAACCATCTATAGCCTCACTTCTGTCTGCTAGTCTCTTAGGAGGACTGCCTGGAGAAAGCTTTTCCACGCAGGTAGCGTGGCCGAGCGGTCTAAGGCGCTGGATTTAGGCTCCAGTCTCTTCGGAGGCGTGGGTTCGAATCCCACCGCTGCCAGACCACAGTTTTTCTCGTTGTCAATGCACCCTCATCAAAGCCCGTTTGGGGACATCGCTCCATTTTATGAGAACTCCTGGTAGCAGTCTCACCGTCTTCTCTCTCTGGTATTCTAGACAAAGCCTAGATCTGCATCTCAGCCCCAAACCAAGACCTGATGGAAACTGGCAAAGTAACCTCGTATCTTCATAACTCATCTTCACTGTAACATGTCCTCAAATAACATTCTTATCTGTCAAAATGAGTGCAACCTGCTATGTATTTAGTACTGTATGTTCTCTTGACAGTGTGCTAGAGGCTCGAATTATCTAGTCTGAAAAATTCAAACGATTCCTCGGAACATGAGAATATCATATACGAAACTAACGAATAATACAATAGAACACATTGGTATTGAATAAAGGGGAAAAAAGTGTAAGGTTCCACCGAGATTTGAACTCGGATCGCTGGATTCAGAGTCCAGAGTGCTAACCATTACACCATGGAACCCACCTCCTAATAACATCTTCTGAGAGTGTATATATTACTGAATTTCTTCTGCGCGTTTTCCTCTACTCTTCCGCTCAGAAGACGAAACAAAATAAAAGTAGTTGCCAGATAGTGTGCATACCGCTATTGCCCACCTGAAATATTAATTTAAATGTGCTGTAAGTATAAAATATACATCTTAATAGATGATTTAGTAGAAAAAGATCCTTAAAATTTCATTAATTAAAAATATTGATTGATAAAATAAGATTTAGGATACATTGGGTTAAATAAAATACAACTAAAATTAATTTCACTTGTTGCTTTGTACTCTTTAACGTGGCTACTAGAAAATTTAAATTCGCACGTATGGCTTGCGTATGTTTAAATCATCTCTGCTTTCCCTATGCTGTCATTCATTCTACCTGTGAATAAAACCCTGACGCCCGTAATATTACTTCCTTTTAAAAACAAAGTAACAATATTTGTCTTACTCTTCCTCTGTTTTGTTCAAAAGAATACAAATATTAATGTATTCAAAAGCACAGACTGTCTTGTAATGTACCGCTGGAGGGGGAAGAAAAAAGAAAACACGACCCGCCCGAACAGGGACTTGAACCCTGGACCCTCAGATTAAAAGTCTGATGCTCTACCGACTGAGCTATCCGGGCTCCTGCTTAAACGGCCTTCTACTATCTATTAGAGTTTCACAATTCCTCTTGCTCCGGACTTACAGACCAAAGTAAGTATTGTATTCATGGGCTCAGAGAACCCCAAAAGGCACCTGGAGGAAGCCGGTAAAACCAGTGGCCAGTGACTACGCCTTCTCGGACTCCCCCTGAGTACAGCACAGGTTAGGACTCTGCGGCTTGAGCTTGGCAGAGGCTGGGAGGGTGCAGTGTTGGGACTGGCCTCTAGGGGCCGCTGCAGCCGCGAGCTTTCCTTGAGGAGAGGTTTCTTTTCAGTCTGGATGACCTAGATCCCAGGCACCCCAGGCACTCAGGCTCCTGCCCATCGCCCCAAGGCCAAGGGCAGGCTCGGATCGGCAAGAATGCCTCATGGGGCCTTCACACGCTGTGCGCCTGGAGTCCATCTCGGTCTCCTGACTGGTCCTAGTCCAAGGTGGAGATTGAGACCAGGCGTGCTAAGCCCGGGGACACACAGGGCAGTTTGAGGGGGGAGGGTGCTGAGTTTGGGAGGTAACAGGAGGGTTGTTTCTGACCAGTATGGAGTGTGCAGGAATGCGTGCGCCACTCACCTGAATGTGGCTTTAGTGATTTATGGACGAGTGTGGCTCACTTGTGTATAGTGATTCACATGGGTGTTTCACAAGTAAGAATGTGGGTACCCTGTGCCCAGTTCTGGCTGAGAGAGAGGAGGAAAGGGTCTTGGGGGGAAGTTGGGGAGTGGGCAGTCAAGGGTCCCACGACATTAACTGGCTGCTGATCAGGAGAAGGGCAGTGTCCCAATCATACAGGCGTCAACCTAATCCCCGTCTCCCTTTCGGCATCTGGTCCCTCCTTTCCCAATGGACCTGGGCTCCTGATATCCATCTGGGTGAACCCGGTCCTGCCAGTCAGAGGAACCGGCTGTGCCAGAGGCAAACACACACCTATTACGGGGCAAGGCCATGGGCGGGGAAAGGGAGCCCTCAGCAAGCTCCCACAGAGTCCTGGAACTTTGGATGAGAGAGCCCAAGAGCATTCCGGAGAAAGCTGGGCTTTTCCTCAGAGGCCTAACCTGCCCCCCAGACCCTCACACAGAGGCTCAGCAGCCCAGCAGCCCAGCCCTGCTTGGCCTGCCGCTCAAATTCTCCAAGTTGGCTGCTAGGGTAGGCACCCCTCCTCTCTTCCCATCATGGCCGTGTACTGTGTACGTGTGACCACTGGTTCCTACCTGATGGCTGGCACACTGGACAACATTTTTGTCACACTGGTGGGCACATGTGGTGAGAGCCCCAAGCAGCGGCTGGATCGCCTGGGCAGGGACTTCGCCCCTGGATCGGTGAGTAAAGAGGAGCAAGGAAGGAGTGACCCCTAAAGGCAGGGCCAGCTGGGGACCCTCACGGAGAGGAGGGTCTTTCCTCCAAGATTCATCAAATCCTGCAGAACTCAGGATGTTGGCCCTGCCCTGGTCACCGCCCCTATTGTGGTACCTGTCTTTCCTGGGGATGATAAACTGTACCCAGACAGGGCTGTGAAAAAGAAGCCCTGGGCCAGGGCTCAGGAGAATTCTGCTGGCTTCCTAGCTCCTTCTCCAGTAATTGGAAGTGTGCTTTGGGAAAGCTGCTTGCCTTCTCTTAACCTGGGTTTCCTCTTCCCTGGAGGGGGTCTGCCTGCCTCTGTCAGGCCCTAGGATTGTTTGCTGGTGGCCTACACACAGTGGGGGCTCCAAGCAGGCCAGGGAAGTAGAAGTCCAGAATCCACTCTGGTCACACAGGGCTCCTTGCAGCCACATGGCTGCTTCTGCCCAGTTGAAGGCTGCCTTTTTCTAATTCATGCAAAGGCACCACATGGGTTAAAGGCAGCTTGGCTTTATATGCCAAAATAGGTGTAAGTGTAGACACACTTTCCAAGGTGCAAGGATGACCCTGGCAGTTCCTTGCCTCTCATCTGCTCACTCTCATGGCCCCCCAGGTGCAGAAGTACAAGGTGCGCTGCTCAGCAGAGCTGGGTGAGCTCTTACTGCTCCGTCTACACAAGGAACGCTACGCTTTCCTTTCCACGGATTCCTGGTACTGCAGCCGCATCCGTGTCACTGCCCCGGATGGTACCCTTTCCCAATTTCCCTGCTATCAATGGATTGAGGGTTACTGTACCATAGAACTTCGACCAGGAACAGGTGGGCCAGAGACAGGGGCTGGCCTGGGCTGCAGGAGGCCTCTGCTGGGATCAGGGGTGGGCTCTCAGAGCCCAGGGTGAGGAAATAGGGCTGGGGTTAGGGTAACTGGAACTCAGGGTGTTCTGAAAAAATAAATCCCTAACACTCTGAAATGCAGGGGCTTTCTGGGCAGTATTTCCCCCTCTGGAAATGCAGAGGCTAGATGACCATGCTCTCTCTCTCTCGCGCGCTCTCTCTCTCTCTCTCTCTCTCTCACACACACACACACACACCACTCAGGGACACACACACGAACACACACAGACTGTGGTTTGCTCACCATGCCTTCTGCCCTCCCCTAGAGTCCACTCCTCTGAGAAGAATTCACCTGCAAGCTGAGGTATTGGGTTTCAACAGAGGGAGAGGCCCTGAATGTTTAGAAAATTTAGCTGGAGAGGCCCTGGCCACTACTACTGGCTTTTCTGGTTTGGATGAAGTCCCTG